GCGGTGGCGTTAGTATACGTAAAGAGATTCAATTAAAACTTGTGTTCCTTTCGAATTTCTCATAATAATGAATTTGATTCACTGAAAAAAAATTCTAAAAAATATTATTGAAGCAAGCAACGAAAACTTATTTTATACAAGTATCTTTTTATATATGATTCTGTTTACAATAAACCAAGAATTTGCCATTAATAATGCCAATTTAATATGACATATTTCCAATTCGGTAATTCTTTATTGAATAATAACCCTTTATACAGAATTTCTCACTGAGTAATTAAAAATTCACTACTCAACTTAATATTGTAATCAGAATATTTCCTTTGAAAGACGTGTTAAATTTTTTACATGCCATATGAATGTGATGTATACAAATCCTAGCGTATTTCCATTAAAATATGCTGCAAAGCAACTAATTAAAAAGATATTTAATTGCAGACAATTTTAAGGCGTATTGTCAAAAATACAATTTACATGAATTTATAAAATATAATTTGCTTCTATTTTTTTTTTTATTTTTGTTTTTTTTTTAATAATCTATAATAAAAATATTGATTTTCTACTTAATAATATATTATATCGCTTATTTGTATAAATACAAATATTATTTCATTCAAGTAAATTAAAAAGATTTTTAATTAAACATTTTGCTTTTATAATTATGTATATATATTTTTTTTTTAATTGTAATGTTTTGCATTTTGCTAAAATATGTTATATATTTTAAATGTTCGCCTTAACAAAAGGGCCAAATAAATACAATTTACAAGATGAAAATAGTTATTGATATTTATTCATTACGATGAAAAATCGACAGCTTTCGATAACAACTATTCAATAAACTTTATAAAATAAAAATTCCTTCTTTTGCTTCTTAAGCTATAGGAAAGAAGCGAGAAACGCATGTGAATTTCACGAGCGCGAGTACACTACAGTTCGAATATTCGGTATGTGCGATCCCTGATTTACGATACGACCTCTTCGCCGTTGTGGAAAAATAAGAATTCTGATTTACGCGCCATGGTTACTCATCCGTTTGGTCTTCCAATTGAGCAATGTGCAGAGACTGGATTCTGTGGATGCTGGTAATTGTATGCGCAAAGTGTTGAATCTCCCGGAATCACAAGGGAGTGCAAGGTCGTTACGGGCGATTTATTTAGTTCGCATGCATTACCGTGTAGTGCAAGCACCGTTAAATACGAAATATTACGCAGGGAATCGTGTCTTTCCTTTAACGGTAAAAATTACGTATACGACCGTCGAATCGATACCGCCGCTATTGTTGTCGCTGTTCGCTGTTGTCGCCATGTGCTCAATTACACAAAGTTAATAGATATGGAGACCAATTGCGTAAAAGAGCAACATTATTCGATTTTAAAGGTTTAGTTTATGGCTCGAACTACCAATTCAATAGTTCAGTGAATTAGTCTCTCGGCAGGATAATTTTAAAGGAAATAATAAGTGGAAGTAAGAAATAATATTTAGTAAAAAACAATGTTTATTATTGTAAAAGATTATAATAATATTGCACTGTTGTGTGTGTGTGTGTGTGTGTGTGTAGAGAGAGAGAGAGAGAGAGAGAGAGAATTATATTGAAGTAGTGAGGGTGTGTTCTTGCATTCTTAGTAGCACAGCATGCAGCTGCCATTGCTGCAATAGCATCACTAAATCGCAAATAATGCCTACCTGATTGACAACTAGCATTTAGCATTGTTGTTGTTTCAGCTAGGCTCAAGTTCAACACATGAGCTATTTCTTTCACCTCATCTCTAGCAAATATGGCCCCTGCTAAGGCAGTTAGAATTATCTTCTCATCTAATAACACAGCACATGCCTTAGATAAGCTATTAACAGCAAGTAATGATGATTGTTTCATAGATATTTCCATGGTATGGTCTGTGACTCTATACACATACTTAGATGACTTGCAAGTTCTTTTCATACGTATATTTCATAGTTCCGTGACCAACAATGATGTAGCGGATCGTGTTTCTTATCGAAAGTTTGTTTATTTCATGTAAGTTGCCATGGTCATGATTGTGGCGATTTTGATCCGTGGTAGTCCTGTCCACCACAATGGATGTTCTTGAATTTATGTTGCACGTATGTTTTGTGCACCATGCCCTGGATCTGATGTCCCAGAGACATATCTCCAGTGCGCTCTTGATAATTTGTCTTAACAGCTGGATAACCCTGTTTTCACGTATTCCTTTCAACTTGATGGTTGGGACTTCCGTGTGAGGGTTACCGTAAATCATTCCAGCAATGGTGAGCGCGAAGTGATATTACAATGAGCCTTTTGAATACGCGCACGAACCGAAAGCTTGATTGTTCCGTGGCGGCTCTGCTGAAAATACCGACCGTTCCATGGCGGTCCTGCTGAGGACAGATCGAGACTCGTGTGCCATGGCTTCTACTGGTAGATGATTGAATCGGTTCATCATGGTCGGTCACTGCGGTCGAGTCACGGCAAGATGTTAGCCGCAAGCGCAGTTGGTCGAGGGTGGTTCGGCAAGAAAGCCGGTTAGCAAGCAACAACAAGCTTTCACCAAGAGAGATTTTCACCGAGAGCGCGAGGCGCGCCGCGTGCATCCCTTATATAGCCACGCGGCGGCGGCTCACTTAGCTGGCAACAAAGCATCGTCGTTGTTGCACTAATTCTTACACGAGGCGTGGAAAGAAAAATCTGGAACCTTCGAGAATGTTCGACGAAAGAAAAGTAGGAGTAATATCTTTGTGTGATGTTATAGTATATTAGATTTCATGTCGTAAAACTTGCTCGGACTTGCCGAGTTTTGTTTATAAACATTCGCCCGAGTGCGCGTCCCGGTCCGATCGCGCGTGCCGTACGACGCCGCACAGCGCGTATGACCTACTTTTTCTAAAATTCATGGAACTGCATCAATCTCGAACAAACATCATTTTTAATAATTAAATAAATTTTAATAATGCATTAATTTGTACAATCGTTGAAACGTGAATTTCCATAGTTATAACAATTGCAATATCTAAATTTTACAATATATGAACTGTATATTGATAAAGAAGTATTAATAATACTTCATAATGATTATTTATATACGTTAAATTAATAATTTTTATATATGGAAATATATTCTCAAAAATCATTTTATGCAAAATATTGGCCGTGTGGAACTGAACTATACATCGACAATCTTATAAGTACGAAGAGTCAAATATTTATTTGTATCAATAGTAATATATTTCAAAATATTAAATTTAAACTAATTTATAAAATAATAATTAAATGAATTTTCTTTTTTACAATCGCCCGTGCAGTATTATTGATTGTTGAGAATGGAAGATAATCTTTGTGTGTTTTTCTGTTGCTTCAATTTAAGGCAGAAGATAATTGAATCGACGAAGTCTTAAATCTTAAAAATTATTATTTTTTATAGGAAAATATTGATTTAATAAAAAATAATTTCTATGAAATCAACACTGACGAACATTCAATTCAATCTTTCCCCATTACTGTACTGAAACGCTTATAATTACTTTTTTTCAATTAAATATATTATTTTTATATTTATAATTTAAAAATCTAAATTTATTTCAGCTTGTCTTATTCCAATTTCCAATAAAATTTTAATACTATTTTTTATATCTTATCATAGACAAATTTACTTTATCTCCTTTATCTTCTGTTTATTCAAGTTAATTACTTCATCGCTTAAAATAAATATAACAATTTTTATATGATGACATATCATAATTGAAATATGATAGCATCGATCGCATAGTATAATTTTAATATTAATTACAATTTTATTCATTTTTATATAATATTTATTATAATTTATTATTTATTATATATATATATATATATATAATTTATTTTTTATTTATTTTATTTTTATATATTTTATTTTTATATATTTTATATTTTATATATTATATACACAAATAATATAATTTATATAGTACATACATTTTTAATATCATCCGTTATTCTTCTTTCTATCCTTTATAGTCATTATGCACACAGACAGTATATTATTAAAAATTCAATTATTTAATAGTTATGGTTTTAATTTCATTATGTCACGAATGTCACGACTATTATTTCATGGCCTATACAAATAAACATAAAGTATCATATAATTTTTGTAGGAAAAGTTAATTTCTTTTAAATAAAAGAAAATAAATTTTTTAAATACACTGCAAACAAGAAAATTATTATTTTATATCTTTACTGGAAATAAGTTGTTGTGAAGTAAAGATTCTTACCGCCATCAATATCGAAAAAAATCTTTACTTTCGAAGTCGTTAGGGCATAAATGTTAATGTAAATTTGTAAATAACTGAATTATAATACATGCACAATAAAAGAGAATATTTATTTTCTTTGTCTTATTAAAATTATTTGATTGTCAATAATTTGTATAAAAATATATTATAGAAAGACCGTCAGTAATACATTTTCAAAAAAAAAAAAAAAAAAAAAAAAAAAAAAAAAAAAAAAAAAAAAAAAAATGATTAGACAAAATGGTTTTAAATATAACAATTTTCCAATTATATGTCCAAAAGTTACAATATATTTTTATGTAAAATATTAACAGTATATTATATGTATTGTTCATATTGCTATAAAACAATATATATTTATTAATAAATATATTAATAATTGTGCTTTATTAATTAATTACACAAGTAATAACTTTATAAATTTTAAATTATTTGATATTAAAAGTTTATGACAAATTTACAAACTTTTATTTCTTTTTAATTACAAGTTACTTGCAGCGTTAACTTTAAAATAAATTTAAAACAATACATTGTATGGATTATAATATAAAAATATAAAATTCAATTGCATAATACATTTATTTGATTTTTATAATACATATTAAGCTGATCAAATTCAATACTATAAATTGTGTAAATAACTTGTTAAGATTCTGTTATTCAGAATTTGTAAAAATTATTAGAATGAGTTTTATTATTAATAGAATTAATTATTTTAATTAAAGTTATATTTGATATACTTGTAAAAGAAAAATTTTTAAATAAAAAAAAATTCATGCAGTGGAAGAAGATGCTGTTTCTTGTGTTGCTGAAAGTAATTATAATGAAGTGTTTAGTTTAAATATAAGACTCAAATACATTTCTTTCAAATAATTTGATGTGAACCTTTATAGGAATATTCTAAAGCAGTGGCAATTGTTCTCATATCACCTTCTATACTTCTTGCCCAGTTTTCAACATCACCAATTTCTTTTAAAGCCCCAGAAAATGACTCGACCAAATGGAGCCAAGATTGCGTTTGTTTTGCAAAATTTGTTGCGCTAGTTTGTAATTGCTTAGCTTCTGCATCAAGTTTCTTTTGATTCAAATAAGCCTGTGCTACCCTATTATAATAATTGTTTACATCACAAAACTACAGCAGAATTAAAGTCATTAGAAACTTACCCAACGTTTAAATGATCTACTAAAGCTTGAGTTAAATTATTCGCAGATTGTATAGCTTCTTTACGTTTTTGTTCTATATAACAACAGTTTAAAAATATTAACACAAATTTAACTTAATTCAGATTCATATCTAAAAATTACCTTGCTTTTCTTTTCTAATAGCTTGCTTGTTTTGGTGATCTTTTACAATAGACGATAACATATTTAAATATTTTAACAAATCGAAGTTGCGGGAGTAGAGAAAATAAAAATACAAAGTAATATGTTTGAAGATTTTATTTACTGATTCTATTACATTACACTTCTAACCTCTAAGTTCGATATAATTGATCACAAAATAAATAGGGCGTTTTAACGGGTGTAGAGGGCACTCCATTCGATTTCTACGGTAGAGCAAAAATTTATTTTACCCTTTATGCATATATATATATATATATATATATATATATATATATATATATATATACACACACACACACACTACGTATGTATATATATATATGCGGACATATATATTTAATTCGGAAGAGTATTTAACCCTTGGAGTCATGTTATTTTAGTTTAGTTTAAATAAGCAAAAATTAATGTGGCAAACATTTCTTAATATTAAATTCTCTATTAAAAAAAAACCTGTTAAATTCATTTTAAATAAAGTTTTTTTAATTATAAAATTAAATATTAATATTTGGTGTTAGGGGTTTTATAAATTCATTTAAAAAAGAAAAATGATTCAAAGGGCTAAATAAAACTAATCGAATAGATTTCATTTTCTTCGACTTATCAATTAAAAGAAAAGGAAAACGTTTTTTTCAGACGATTAAACAAATGGACTTGACTGATCAACTGATGATACCAACTTATCTTTATATTATTTTCTGGAAAAATTCGCATAACGGATGATGTTTTTAATTTGAAAGTACAAACATTACATTGATTTGGGAATAATTTTTTAATAAAAAGAAGAAATTGATTGATAACCTTATTTATTAATAAGCTTTTCGAAATTGAAATTATTTATGAATCTCATAAATATTAATCTACGAATTTATGAAATTCAGATTAAATAAGTTTGCAATTTACAAATTTCAGCAAGCTCTTGATGATTCTGTCTTGAAATATTCTAAATGAAGATTTTAAGAAAAATATCTGTAATCAATAGACATATACTTTTTGCATTGGTTTTTTTTTTATTAGGAGTCAAAATTGAATTTCTAGGTAAGAGACAAAAGATAAATTTAACAAAAATATTTTGCAAAATTATGTATGTACTTTTTATTTAAATGCGAAATAAAATTAATTAAACTTTTTGTCGGCATTAATAGATTTTTAAATAGTTATTTAATAAAATTATATATTCAGATGAAATTTTATAAATTTATAAATTTGATATTACAATTTGGTATGCGTATTACAATACACATTTGAAATATTTTTATTTTAATATTTCAAAATGTTATTTTCGAAAATAGTGATATTAATGCAAATTATTTTTGTTAAAAATAATTTTACAGCCAAGAAATTCAATAGGCACAGAGTTGAATGGTCCATAAAACTTTATAAAATTATTAGATAATAGAAATCTATATATTAAGGATTATAAGGAAATTGAGGTGATTGGAATGGTGGAGGGATATTTTAGGTTTAATTAAATTCATTTTTGAAATTAACTGAAACTTTAGTAGAATTTAAAATTTAAGAGATTTGAAAATAAAAGCTAAAATATTTAATACGATTGTGTTAATTTATAGAGCACATGTGCTCATTTTCTACCCATTTGTATAAAAACAGACAAAATTAAAAATTCAAAACGAAAAAAAAAAGAAAAAAAATTAAATTTAAATTTTTGTTATTTAATCAACCATTCTAAAGTTCAGCAAATCCCTTATTTCATTGTATTCTTGATATCATATTGAAGCTTGAGGATCTTCAAAGACTTCGAAACTTGAATTTCTTTGTCGACCAGGAATAGAATCAATTCAGTATTGGAGTTGATCACGTCAAACCTTTGGGTGAATCTTCATCGATTCAAGTGTTAAGATCTTCATTAATCTCATCTTCAATTGTTTTCTTTCAAAAATCTTAATTTTCTTTCTGAGCGAGTGAAACTTGCAAACTTCCCTCTATCATCCAACACCTCTTGATTCAAAACCTTATAAACAAACTAACTTGTTAGAAAGCTTACATCTATTGATTTACGTTTATTTTTTTTTAATTTTTTTTTTATTTTGTTTGATATTATGAACATACTTTAGAGGTACTAATCTATTGTATTTTGTCATCAATGTACCAAGAAAGATATTTAAGTTGAATCCTATTTTTTTAATAAAGTGGTACAGTATTCACCATTCGCAAGAGAGTTGGAATATCGATAAGACCAATTCAAAATGAATAATCAGAAAAAAAGAAAAAAAATATACTGAAACAAGAAAGGCAGAAAAATTGGCCAACTATGTTCCAACCTTTACAGAGTTAATTAGCAGTATTACACACAATACCGACGAATTTAATCTTAGTGTCTAAACTCGATAATGCTTCTACTTTTATAAAAATGGAAATTTGACTTGTGAAAATAAGGATATTTTGTGTCCATTCTGACCTTTCTATTCCATGCAAAATATCTAAGTTTACACTAAGCATTTATAAGACTTTTAGCGTTATCGGGCCAACGTATAGTGCCAAACATCAAACGCATTACATAGGAAGGTGAGAATAGTGACAGAATGTGAAGTTTGTATTTTTATGACCCTGAGTGTACATAGATAGAAGAGAATGGGGTCGGGGTTGGGTCAAAGGGTCATGTCACACAAATGGCTCCCAACACCTGGCCTCTCGCATCAAACCCGTCTCACTTAATATCGACCTGAAATCCATTAAGCAACGAAAACAATAATTTTCTCATCCAGGTTATGGGGGAGTTGCGCTTACTAATTATTCGCATGTTTTTATTAGTTGTATTTTCTCTTGATGCTTTCACTCCTGCATTCTTATTACACACCCTTTCTTTCTCTCTCTCTCTCTCTCTCTCGCTCTCTGTCTCTCATTCTCTCTCTCTAGCAATCTTTCTCGACCTCTCTCTCTCTCTCTCTCTCTCTCACTTTCACTCCCTCTCTCTCAAACGATAAAATAAGTTCATACTAGGCAGTTTACAAAAATACGTTCCAGCCTGATAATAGTATATATATGACTATACATACTTAAAAAAAAAAAAAAAAATTATATTTATGAAACATTAAGGCATTAATAGTATATTCTTTCCAAAATTTCATTCAGCGAATTAAAATTATTATGAAATTATACACCCAACTGATTAAAAATGATTTCACTTTCTCCCTTACATCCATGCCGGTCCATGTCGATGTACACTGCCTGAATTGTATATCGAATCGCTATGCATGTAACGATCTGACTTACGTGGCGTATAGGAGCGTGATCTGGATCTTTCATAACGCGAGCGTCGCCGGTTAGAGTAGTAAGGACTTGGAGAACGACGGTAGCTTCCTCTGTTATTATAACTAAGCAGAAAAATTTTGGTAAAACGATTGAAATTCATAAAATACGACTATTAAAAAATTACAAATATTAAAAGAGAAATTGTTTGACGATTATTCTAACTAACGATTCATTATAATTATAGAGGCATTTAAGGCATGAATAAATATAAATATTTATATATTAATTAAAAATGAATTTTCTATGTGATTCTACGCTAATTTGAAGAGTCATTTAAATTATCTTGTGTTCTTTATGCAAATTACAACTTACTCTCTCCTCCTAGGTCCGTCCCAACCACCACCACCACTGCTACCACCGCCACCACGGCTATCGTACAAGTGAGTTGGTTTGCCAATGTAAATCCCTGGTGTTGGAGTATGTGCTCGTTCCGTAATGGAGTAGTCTACCCTAATTCGTCGTCCATCGATGTCCATTCCACTGCACTGTTCTTTAGCCACCTTTGCATCTTCCAAGGACTCAAAGTAAACAAAACAAAAACCTTTTGGACGTTTTGTCTAGAAAACAAATAATTTTCCATTACAATAACACAATGATTAATAATTTTTGTAGATTTTTTTCTAATTTGTCGCCCAAGGCCTTTAATGCATTGTTTATATCTCTAAAGCACACATTCTAAATCAAGGGCTAAATTAGTATACCCCTAATAAAAGTTCTTTTTCTACAGTTAAACTATTTACATAAATTGCAATTCTATTTTTTTTTTTTTAATATTATTAAACAAAAGTAACAAAAAAAATATAAAATGAAAAGAAAATCAAATAAGTTAATTTTTATAACGATTTTAATTAGTACAAAAATGTCATTTCAATAACAAAAACACAATTTGTACGTGTTTTTGCATGAAAAATAACGATTGAAATTATATAAAAAAATTAGGGGATAATTAGACTGTAGTAAGTTAACGTAATTAAAAAATTTATCGAAGTGATGAATTATCTATTATTATTTTTGCAAAACGTAATACCATTATACAAAGAAAAGATTAGTAATTTTATTAATTTTGTTAATTTTACAAAAACAGTAACAATTATTAAAAATAACAAATGATAAATTGCCCTTCACAATTATATACATAATTACTGTAACATGATAAAAAATAATTTTAATGAATAATAAATATAAATGTCAAATTAAATGTAATATCAATTATATATTAAAATAATATTATCATGATAAACATTATTATCCTTGTCAATTTTCATTTTTACATAAAAATAAATTTGATATAAATAAACATGTACTTTTTGCATTTTATTCAAATGAAATCATTATTATAGTCATCATCTTCATCATCACCATCGTCATTATATAAAGGTTGAAATACTGTTGCTTTACAATTAATAAAATAGAAAAATTAATAGATAATTTAATAAATATACAAATGTATTTTGAAATTTATTTAGGAAACTTAATTATACGCTGATTAAAATTGACTAAAATTCAATTAAAAACTTTAATTTATGCAAATTTAATAGTATTTCATACTAATAATGAATTGAGTTATTAGCTGATATGGACAGTTAAAGTCCTAGAAGTACAAACGAATATATAACTTTGCAACAAATTAAATGTTAAAATGCTTTAATTTATTAATTAGAAAAAGAAAATATAGTACTAATTATATATGTCCAATATAATTACAATGACTATATCACACATAGTTAAAAAATTCAATTCTTTTACAAAATCACATATAATATAACCTTAAACGTACACATCCACGCACAAGCCTATATATATATATATATATATATATATATATATATATATAAGTATTTAACATCATATAATTATAAATACATATGCCTATACATTTATTATTATGAATACGTTATTTTAGTACAATAGGCATACATTTATGAGTTTTAAGCTATCGTTAAAAATGTTTCAAGCTTATTAAGTAATTCTTAATTTTTAAAGACATCACTATTATTATATGATTAAAATAATATTTTTAATTTAGAATTTATAAGATTTATGTTTTATATTTATATTTAATTGTTAAACTTAAATATTTCTTTAACTGAATAAAAATGGATGTAATATTTTCCCGCTATAATTACATTTTTCATATATTTGTGATGACAATAAATGTCTATTTCACAATAACAATTTTTTTATAAATATCATATCAGCTAATATAAACTTGCGGCATTTGCAAATTATATATTTTTTATTAGAATGGTAAAATTTAAAACTGAAAAATATTTTATGAAATAAGTAAGATACCTAATTATTTTCTCTTCAAAACTTATTTATAAAAGTTCATAAATATACCTTTGCATCAATGACTACCACAACACGTTCTACTGGCCCATACTTGGAAAAGATATGATATAGTTGTTGTTCACTCGTACAAATAGATAAGCCAAAGACCCCTAAGCATCGACCAGGGCATGGATTATCTCTATTCCCGACGTGTCGTCTTCTTGAAGACATTGGACTTCTTGAGTGTGATCTGTACATGTTCCTATCTCTGGAATATCTTGATCTAGAGTAGGATCGAGATCTACTGCGTGATACACGTCCTCTATAAGGTGATCGACTACGACTTCTGCTGCCACCTCGACGACCCTCATATTTAGAACTACGATAGGATTTGCGACTTCTAGTGATTGAATGGCTGCGCGACCTTGAGTAATTTTTTATCACTCTATGTCCTTCTTTATGTTCTCGAAATTTGCTGGACTTTGAATGTGAGCGTGACTCTTGAATGTCATCATCCGTCCTTGAACGCCTCGGGCTTGGACTGCGACTGCCACTTCGCTTCTGTATGTAAGGTAGCAAAGGATGCTTGCAAAAGTACAAGAAAATCTATGTTGTAATATAACACCATGCTATGTTATCAACCATGCTTAGACAAATTTTATGAAGATTTATTAGGGCACATCATTTCCAAATAATTTAAAAAAAAAAAAAAAAAAAAAAAAAAAAAAAAAAAAAAAAACTCATTCTAACAGAAAATGGCATTTTTAATTCTTTAGATTAAATAATCTTTCAATGGCATTAATAGCATTTTAATTCAATGCTAGTGCAATAATTTCCATATAAATTTAACACGTTTTTATAATTTCTTGTACTGAGCACAACGCGAACATATAATAAAATTTGAAGAATTTAATGCTCTAATTTGTACGACAAAACAACGTAAAATCTACTAGAAACTAAGAGGAATAAATTTGAATAACTAAATGCAACGTTCACTAATTTGATCTAAATATATGAAAACTCTCAAAGAAATTATAAATATCTAACCGAAAGAAATTTAACGATAAACCGCAAGCTAGCAAAGAAAGTAGAATTATTAGATCGAAATGTTATAATCGTATTAAAACCTTTATCCTGTGGTGAAATCTATGCATGCTTTATCTGTCGGCCATGCGAAGTACGTACAAAACGCCTTCTTTATACTAAAACGTAAAACTGCAATAAAATTCTCACCTTGACGTCGTCCATATTTCAGGAGGAGCGATGAAGCCTTGTTCCTTGCTTTATCTCTTTAACCGTGTTTTATCAATGAAAATTTATATTTTCATGTCACGCCAGGAAGAAGAATAGTCAGACGTTGCACGTTTGTCGGAAAATCTCGAGAGCGTGAGAAATACGCAGTGGAGCGTCGTTTCCTTCTCTCTCTCTCTCGATGCTAGAGCTTCCGTCGGCTCTGTTTCACTCGTAATGGCGTACTTTAGACGAAGATAGCGCGACGAACGGCAGGGGCAAAGGCTTGTTTCGCCGCTTTTTCCGTCTCTGTTGTTTGCGCAGAAGCGGAAACTTCAACGATGTTCTAAACTTCCGGCGTTGTTAGGTGTTCGGTATCTGTGGCAGCGATGATCCGTGGTCGGTGACTCGCGTAACAGGCGCCAACGTTCAAAGTGTATCGACTCATCTCTTGTTTTGTTTGATCGATTATAGAAAGCTCTTTCACGTGCTTTTTTTTCGTTTGTATATGGATTTTGTTTTACGCTTGGCTCGCAGAAATACATCACGACTTTATTATAAATCGACGCAATTATAGATATTTATTCATATTGTAGATTAAAACTGTTGTCATTAAAATATTAACGTAGAATTAAACGTTCATAGGCTTTGTGAATAATTTCGTTTAATATAAACGCTGAGCGTGCATAATGACATAATGGCTTTATCAACTGCGGAATTATTCAAAGTGGAGTCTTGAAGTTATGTTAAATTAAAATTTAATGAAATTAGACGTCGTTTTATTAACTTTACACTCTTGCTCATTGTCTTATTGTTGTCACTTGCTAATAACGACGGTACAAGCTCGTAAAGTCCATGCCATACTTAATTGGGTAGGCCACGCAAATATGCGACTTGAGACTTGAGAAGAGTCGCGCGGGATTATTTAGTAGATTTGGCTGTGGTTGGCGCATGCGTGTATGTTGAAGGGCCAAATTCCACAAACCGCTGTTAAAAACTCACGTTTTGCGTATATTATTAACATGTAGCAGCGCAATAGTTCAAAGCTACTTATATTTACATGAGTAAAGAGGTGGCATCGCGATTTAAGTATCTTCTCTTTTGACAAAATAATACGATTTTATTAGTCGAACGCCTGAGCAATAATCCATTGGCATTGGCAGTTAAATATTATTAAATATAATGATAATTGGTAGCATCGATTTAATAGCTCATTCAATGTTAAGGCTTGCGCACCTGACACACGTCTGCTCTAATATTCGATATTCGTCGTCCTACCTAAGGACCTAACGAGGAGAAGTTAATTTAAATACGAAACAATGCTAACCGAGATTTAAAAAGTGTTGATTGACCTGTCGAGTAGTTCATGAGCCATCGATTTTGCACGCTTGTCACTGGAATTTGGGGTTTTACAATTGCACGTTAAATGAGTTTTATGAAATAATGGTAGGAATAATTATATTACAAGCTAATGTGGTGTACAAATTAAATTATAAAATACATAGTAATGTAAATTATATTAATAAAACGAATATAATCTAGTTTGTTTAGCAAATTCGAAGGTACATTGCGATAATTTTTCATTTATAACATATATATATATATATATATATATGTTATATATATATATACATACACAGGCATCCTGAATAGTAATAAATTTTTATGATACTTTAACATTTTCATCTGAGCATGTATTAATGGCCTGTGCACATAATAGACATCTGGGACTGTTGTCGTTTATTTTAAATTCTACAGAAATAATCTGTAATATATGAGTAAACACATATGTGCATATGACGCACATGTGCGCGCTTGTGCAAAGCGTGCGTGCATGGTTAAAAAATAAGTTGATACAGGATTAAGAAATGCTATAAGTGTATGCAAAAAGTGAATTCAGATGGGAAAGAATGTATAGAATGTCGAATAGATAATTTTGTGTGAACTTAAAAATAAATTTTTATTTACATTTAAACATTATTTAGAGCATCAAATGAATGGTTAGCACAGCTTGGTTCACAGAAGAGGATAATAGTGAAAACGACCGGTCAGGTGAAATTGCAAAACTATTGTCGAATTAATCGAAATAGCTTATTTAAATATAATAAAGAAACGAATTGGATATTATACATTTTTATAATTAATTCGCAGCCTCAATGTTGTATGTGTTATGGTTAAATACGATGTGTGTAAAAAGAACGGCCATTGCTTTACTAGTCTAATTGAGATATTTTTCTTAATTGTCGAACAAAATTATATTTTCAAGTCATCATTATGGATGTGAGGATTTTCAAAATTTTCATATTATTCTAGAAATAAAAATCTATTGATAAAAATTGATTAATAGATTTTTTACTTGATATATTCATTTTTCAAATTGAAATTTTTACTTTGATTAACTTTCATTTTTAGAATCCACTTTTGTCTATAATTAACTACCAAGAATAAAATAATTTAATGTATGTAGCCATCTTTTTCTTTTATACTTAATTCAATTAATAATAAAATTAATAATAAAATAACAACAGCTTGCTAGAGTAATTAGTTATGTATATAACTGTTTATATAACTATTCAAGGGGAAGAGGAAAGCTGCCTTGTAGTCACTGAACCTTGCACACACGAATGTATTAAACATTTTTCCAAAAAAATTAATTACTATTTATTCTGTTTTTTTTTCTTCATATATAGTAATATAAAAGTTTTTATGAAATATGGTATATATATATATATATATATATATATATATATATATATAAGTAAATCAAATACTATAGCTTGTAAAAGATTGTATTCCAATAACGTGGTTATTTATTTGGCTCCTTTAAGAAAAAATAATATTATATTTGTAAATTGCATTTTTGTCCTATATGATTTTTACATATTATTATAATTATGAAAATAATTATAATTTAATTTTTTTTTATATAATTTTGCTTTTTAAGATTTTTATTATTATATATAGAGGTAAACACTTTCTCATTATAGGATATATCACTAAAAATCTACTTTATTATAAACGTATTTTTGAAATGTCGTGGTGTAACAAAAAGTACATTCGTTGAGATTAATTTGCTTTTTCGGAATGCATCACGTATGCAAATGTTGATATTAAGATTATTTTATTGTTTAATATATTTCGTACATCGACGCTCGTAAAGTATGATGTAAATGCTTTTTAACCACCGTATGCCCAATGTCGAGCTTATGGAATCCTAGCCGATTCAGCCAATCAAATCCGGTAATTTCCCATCGAATTGTGTCCGACACAACACTTTTTACATAATTTTACGCCACATGGTTATTAACAAAAATAAAAAAAAAAAATCTAACACAACTTTCCAAGGGCAAAGAATCTTTATCTCAAGCGTAACATTGATTATTTTTTTTTCTGTAGTTTGAAAAGTTGCTTCGAGGCAATTTAATTTTCAACAGCATACAATAACGATAATAACCAAGGATACAGTTTATAATGAATAAAAAGAACTCGATTGTTATAATCTCAAAAGTTTCTACACGTCAACACATTGCGTAAGCGCAGGTCCAACTGCAATTTCCTTTAAGCTATATTACATCCGATAAATGAGAAAATCATCAAAGGTCATAAAAATTATCGCTAATTTATATGCTGGATTTGTAGAGCTGGACATACGAGTAAGAGCAACACGTGGATTGTTTTATTCTTAGCGAATTTGAAAGTTCGCCGACGGAATCGACTGGCGCGACGTACGCACGAACACGAACGTGCGCACATGCCCAAGCGCATTTAATATCTTGTTTTCGCGATTTGATAATTTCGCGCGATGTTTGACGAGGTCGGCTGGGGGATGGTCGTGGAGGGGGCCAGAAAGGGCGGCTCGACGAAGGGGTAAGATCGGGATGGGTGGTAGGGGCAGATGTAGAGGCGCGAGCCGACGGCGCACACGCATTACGCGCTAAAAGCGCTCATGTTTCATTATCGTAGAACAGAGGCGCGATCGTGGAGGGTTTAATTGATTTCGGGGTTTAAATTAATTTTGGCCAATCATTTTTTTTTCTTCCAACGGCCAACGGATCCAGCCTTTTATGAGACTCGAATCGATCGGAAAACAAGATTCGCTTTTCGTATTGAAAGGTTGGGCTTAGTAGGGTTTATTTTGGCCTCTGCTCAAAGTCGTTCAATTGAATAACATCGAGCTGTACTTTGGTCGGGCGACCGTTGAAGAAGATCTTTCAAACTGTTGATATCCTGCGACGAGCGTGAGTAAAGTTTTTTAATTGCTGAAAAATAAGCGTGACAGCAACAACAATAAGAGTGAGCTAGCGCGTGAGTAGCGACTGTACGGCTGCTCGTGTTAGTGTGTACACACTCGTGTCCGTGCATTGACATTTATCGGTAGTGAATCTTTAAAGTATCACCTGGACGGACGAACGGTCGATCGTGTGAATAAGTGAGTGAGAGCGAGAGATAATCGCTCATAGAAATTGAATAACATTGTCGTTTCGTATCTGTCTCACGGCTAAAAACTATAAGATTAATGTCAATGAGCAAAGGTGCGATACAGGCAATCGCGTATATAAAGCGTTGAACATTTTATGACAATCGAATGTCAGATTCTACTTGAACAATTATATTGTATAAAGTTTGTAAAGTGACTATTTAATATAAACTATAAAAATGGCCGACTATATCTGAACCGGCTTCTTCGATAAACGATAGCGAAATAAATATTGCTGTCTTCACATCACATTTTTATTAATTTTTTATCATGTCAAGTATTGGTTGACATTTGCTTTTAGGTAATAGATCAAGTAAAATGAACTAAAACAAATAGCTGCTAGATACTTTTGTGAATAAAATTCTAATGAACTGCCAGTTTCATCATTGATACATTTTATAATTGTCAACATCAGTGGTAACGATGAGTATATTTATTATATAATACCCTAAATTTTAATAATTAATCATAATCGATAGAATTTAAACTACATTTAATAATAATTCATTGAGTGTTTCATAGCATTCGATTCTATATTTTTAAAGAAATTTGATAATATTTGTTATAATTATGTATTGAGTTATATTGCTATGTGCATTCTATGAATAATTTCAAATTAGAAAGTTAAAATTATGTTTTTTACAATTAAATAATAGATGGGTTTATTTATAATTCCACAGCTTATATAAACTTTTTAAAAAGTGGATTTAATAATTTTAGGGAAATAGGATGGAAGATTTTAGACAAGTTGAATCTACTATAATGGTACGATGATTTATTTATTATAAAAAATATTTACTTATTACTATTATTATTATTATTATTATTATTATTATTATTATTATTATTATTATTATTATTGTTATTATTATTATTGAAATCCTTAAATAGGATGAAGGAATCAACGAACTTCTACAAGTTGGGAAAAAAATTATGGTTAGTAATGTTGTTCCAAATCAAACTAATGGTGTTCGTCGTAGAAAAGCAAAAGTTACAATGCATACCTTGATATCAGAAACATTGCCTCTTGATGTAGCTGCTAGATTAGAAATGAAAGCCTTACCAAATAAGACACCCGTATCTATTTTACAAGAATTATTATCTCGCAGGGGTACAACACCCACTTATGAGCTTGTTCAAATTGAAGGTGCCATTCATGAACCAACATTTTGTTATCGTGTCACTGTTGCTGATGTTGTTGGTGCGTAGTCAAATTATTTAATTTATATTATGTAATTAGCAACATTAATTTTCTTTTACCATACAGTCTAATTTAAAATATTTGTCTGTATAGAAATTTGCATGTAGTATGTTTCGAGTAAAAAATAAAACGTCTATTCATATAGCATTAGTATAATTTATCCAGATATATGAAATACAATTTTTATATTCCTTTGAATTGATATATATATATCAATAATAATCTATTTTAATATTCGCATTATTGAAATTTTGTATATGTTAAAAATTTACTAAAAATGGAAGTGTTATTTAAAAATCTATCAAAAAGTTATGTTCATAGAATATTCATAATCCTTCCGATTATAAGCCTTCGAATTGTAATAATTCCAATTGTTTTAGCTATGGGAACTGGAAAGTCTAAGAAAGAAGCAAAACACAATGCTGCTAAGTCTGTGCTCGATAAGTTAATTGCAGTAAACAATGAAAATACAGAGGCTCCAGTACAAAACAGTACTCCTGAGTAAGTGTTTATCTGTGTATTGTATTATTTGTAAACTTGCAGAGCTTAATAGAGTATTAATATATATTTGTGTGAAGTGAAAATTTGTCTTTAAGCTCACCAAATATACAAGATCTTCAAAACAGCTATAGCGAAGAAAAAGTCGTGAGCAATCCAATTGGCTCATTACAAGAATTATGCATGTCTTACCATTGGCCACCTCCAAAGTATTCAATGGAAGATGAGGAAGGTCTTCCGCATGAAAGGCAATATACAATTGTGTGTTCTATTCTAAAACATCGTCAGTTTGGACAAGGGAAAAGCAAGAAATTAGCAAAGAGACAAGCTGCTCATAAAATGTGGCAGTCTTTACAAGAAAATAATGTAGATGAAGACGAGGTAAAATATTTGTTTTTAAAGTAAATTAATTACTTTTCAAGTAAATTACAATGAAAAAGTAAACTTTTATTATTATTAAGGAAATAAAATATTTTTATTAGGTTAAAGAATAGTATCAGTATCTATTTTAATTTGAATATGGTTGTAATCAATTTTAAATTATAAATTATTAGAAATATTTTAAAATATGGGTTGTAAATTTAAATTTAAGTTGTTACAATTGAATATAAGTGGAAGTATTTCTTTGACCATATAAAGTGGAAGTATTTCTATGATCTGTTGGTATTAAAAAAGAAATATATTAATTTGAGCTTTCGAGAATCTATAGAAGGCATTTTCGATTAATTAATTTTATTTAACATTTTTTTATTATTTTGACAGCTGAATCACATATTAATCATTTACGCTTCATTGTTACAAATTATACTATATTTGTATATATTTATATTTATTATACTTATCATTATGTTACAATAATTAAAAATTTTCACTCTTGTGTCAATGCTCTGTTATAGGTTGCACCAAAAAATACCAATGTCAGCCCTCATTATGCGAATTTAAAAGACAGTAAAATTGCAACATTGACTACGACACACGGTATTAAAGTCTCACAGTTTCATAAGAATTTGAAATCTGCTACCGGTGATAAACTCTTTGAGCTTCAAGTGAGTATTTTTTATATATAGTTAAATATAACTATTAAAAAAACGCTAATTTACACTGAATTATTGATAATCAATTGCACAAGTAAAATAATAATCTGTTTCAGAATACTTGTTTAAATGATGGAGATGTTAATTTAGTACAATTCTTACAAGATATTGCTTCAGAACAGCAATTTGAAGTAACTTATGTAGACATTGAAGAAAAGTCTATTAGTGGTAAGGAAAGTGAGATTTAGTTAAAAATATCTATACCATGTAATAAATTATTTCCATTTAACATCTTTAATAATCTATAATATAACATCATCTTTTTCTGTTAATACTATATTAACATTCATGTCATTTTCATTAGTTGGAATGTTTTCATGTATTTGTTCATTGAATGATAAAGCTATCAAATATGGCATTTGTTTTCCATCGAGTACAATTGATTTGATATATTTATCATAGTACCCCTTACCATGGCCCAATCTTTTTCCATCTCTTGTAAAAGCTAATCCAGGTAAAATAATTAAGTCTAGTCCACCTGAAACAATCAATCAAATATTTATTGAAACTATATATTCAATAATCGTTCCTATCATGCTATTTATTTACTTGCTTGTTTCAAATGCTTTTTCTCTAATTTCCTGAGAATCAGGTTGTTTAATGTTCCATTTTGTTAATGGTAATTTATTGTAATCTTCCATTGAATATATTTTCATCATATTCATTGTTTCTTTTTGATAGCATGGAACAAAGGCATCTTTTTTTTTTGAAAATATATCTTTTAAAATAGGTATTGTGTCAACTTCATTGGGTGTGCTTAAATATAAGGCGATTTTTTTACTTTCATTATACTGTGGTAATGATACTAACTGAAAAATTAATTTAGATAACTAAATTCATACATTTGTATATAATACAATTATTCAATTAAAATACTTTATATCCATATAAATTTATAATATATTAAGTCCCATAAATTGAAAATTTATATTTAGGTACAAAAATGCAACTGAACTATAATAATTCCAAATTAATTAGTTCTTTTTTTGCTTTTACTAATTTATTAATATTATCTTAAAATATGTTTATCAAATATTTTGAAGAATATACAAGTGCTCATGATCTCATAATTTCAAGTTAAACAATTTAAGTTTCAAGCATGATTGTTTTCAAAATGTATATATTTATTTTTGCCAAAAATATCAATTTTTTTATTATTTAAAATTTGTTTAGAATTAATTATAAATTATTTTGTTACATCATCATTACTTTTATTCTCTTTTATTTTCTTCATATTTCACTTGCTTTTAGCTAGGTAAGATATTTATTTTCCTTATAGAAGTTAAGTAGGAAATATATTTTCTATAAATATACTAATTTTATATTAATTAATAACAATGAAGTATTATTCGATTATTAATATTATAATTTTATTTCAAATTACGTATATGTATAAATTATTATATTTATATATAGAAAAATTATTATATGGAATGTTTAAACTACAGAGCTATTTATACTACGCTATAAAAATATTTAAAATACTTTACCGTTCAATATAAATATATGTCTTCTGATTTATAAATGTATACATATATTTAAGTGAAATAAAATATATAATATTTAGTATATAATACCTACACAATCCAATTTACAGTGTATAATATTTATAAATAATATACAGTGTAATTGTTTGTGTAGATTCTTTTTCAATACAATATTTTGGAAAATAGCGAAATATTGAAATTTTATATTATACTTATATTTTATTTCAATAAACTATTATAAAAAAAACTTTATATTACATTATAATAGTTTATTGTAATGCAACTGATAAATATCAATTACTGATAAAAATTGATGATTAATTGTATACTTATAATCAAATATTAAAAAATAATTATGTAAAAGGTTTATTTAAGAAATACGTGAATAAGAAACATTTAAGATTAATTTAATGCAGTATTTTAACATCTTTATATTTTTTTGTTATATTAAAAGAGATTTAATTAAATATATCCATACTTATTTATATAATTATTTATGAAGTTGCATAGAGTTAGACATGATTTAAGAATTACATCGTAATTATATAACTACATCCAGAAAGTATAAAAGTTATATAAAATATATATCACCTTATTAAATATAATTTCAGATTGTAACTTTTTTTTGTTATTATCTAAGTCGTTTAAAACATTTAGCATTTTTTTTCGTAAAGTAATTTTTGCAGATTTTATAGTTGACATTATAGTGATTAACCTCAAAATACTAATAGAAATTATTTACAGTAAAATACACATTATAATATAGAATATGTAAAATGTCTAAATTACGATGATAATTTCATGTTCAAATATAAATTTATTTTTAAACAGACTTTTAAATGGGGGGAAATTTAGCTAATATATAACTGTAATTACAGCTATTATCAACATAGGACAGTTATTTACAAATAATAAGAATTGATCGGAGGTTTAAATTCAAATTAAATTTAACAGAAAAAAATATTTCTATTATTTTCATTTTCAGTAACAAATTAATGGGCGAAGTTACTTTTAAAAATTGTGTAATATATCGAGTAAGATGTATGAATTTAATAAGTAATTTAACAGACAAAATTTATGTAATATTTTTAATTTCTTGGCGATAAATATTTTGTAAGTAATTTTTATGGTTAGATATAAATAAGGCATTATGATTCGTTATTGGCGTATATATATATATATATATATATAAAATTTAATATACAATATATTTTTTTTAAACGTAATTTTTAACGCATAAAAAATATGTCAATAAAATGTTTAATCTATTTGCATTTTAAAGAGTATTAAATGTTTAGCGACATTTAGCATTATAATTGAAACTAATTTTACAATTAATTTGTAATCGATTATAACAATACTAATAATAATAATACTAATAATAATAATAATAATGATGATGATGATAATAATAATAATGATAATAATAATAATAATAATAATAATAATAATGATAATGATAATGATAATGATAATGATAATGATAATGATAATGATAATGATAATGATAATGATAATGATAATGATAATGATAATGATAATGATAATGATAATGATAATGATAATGATAATGATAATAACAACAACAATAATTATGAATAATAAAAATTTAGAAAAATAATTTATTGACAGATAATTTTGAATAAGTTGATGAAAATAATATTTATTCGATAACATTATTCTTTCAACGAAATATTTTTATGATTTTTAGGAAAATACCAATGTCTTGTTCAATTATCTACGCTTCCGGTTGCTGTGTGTTATGGCTCAGATGTGTCAAGTAAAGATGCTCAAGCTGCGGCTGCTCAAAACGCTCTTGAGTATTTGAAAATCATGACTAAGAAGTGAGCCAGCGCTTTACTCCTGCCATTCGTCACCAGAAATTGTATATCCAATATATTGTCTAAAATTAAAGTGAACAATACTCGTGATAAACTCATTGTTAGTGATGATAAAGTTTTAAACTCGAAAGTTAAATTTGACCGTAAAATCGAGTCAGAGGTGACTGGAAGAAAGAAAAGTGTTAAGGCGCATACTCGAACGACAAATTCCACTGATTTTAAAAATGTGATTTTGAATTCTGTTAATTCACCCATAAATAGTGGCATAATATCGTTAGGTAATAATAAGAATAAAAAAAATATTACTGCCAATATTGAAGATAATAATCCTAGTGATAAAAACTCTAAATCAAATATTATGAGATTTAGTAACACCAGAAGTGCAAATTGTTCGGTCACTATTCCGTCCAATGATCAACAGACTAAAAAAATTGTGACGGACTTAGATTTCAAATTCAAAAATTATCAGGAAGAATATAACAAAACTAATTCTATCTATCATCAGTACTATAAACCAAAGTCAATTGGAAATTTAACTCCCAGTTTATCAAATGATTTAGTGTCTATGCTTCACCGAGAGAACAGTCAAAAGGTTACAGCGCAGTATTCTCTTGACGAACATAATAGTGACACAAGTAGCAGTAATAATAAGGTCTATGTGGCTGTGCCCAAAATCCAAAATCAACAAAATTTTCTGCCTAAAATGGCACCTATTAATTTTCCTCCACTTCGTGCACCACAAAGTATCGTAAATATCCGACACCCATTTGTTACAGAGTCCAGAATGAAACATAATATCAGTGGCAGTAATAATAGCTTAAAATCAAAATCGACAATGAATACGTTGATACAGTCAAATATGAAGGAATTGGAGCCTGGAAGACAAACTTATCATAACTTCGGTACTTCTTCCCTCAACATCACAACAAATATATCGCCTTATCGAAGACCAGATTCGTTTCCTCAACCCACATTAGCTTCTTTGCTGTTTCCAGATAGCGGCCAATTTTCTCAATCTGCCTCATCATATTCGACGAATCAACTAAACCAATTTCAGGCATACGATCACACCAACTACCACACAAGCACGCCCGTTATGCCACATTTTTCTGATAATTCCTTATCCTTTCCACAATACGACAGTACAACCTTTGCCCAACCCAATCATTATTCGGCCGCTGATTTGACTAACAATCAGTTTCAATATCAAACAGCACCCTTAAGCCAAATACAGGATTCGCCTCTTTTTATTCAGAGCCTTCAGGGTCCAATTACCATGACTGATCAATACGCTAGCCAGGGTTACGCTAGAACGTTTAGGGCAGAATTAATTCACAGGTTGCCACGACCTCCAAGATATAATAAATAAAACGAAAAATCTCGAGGTGATTTGATAATCAAATTACCTTTCAAGGCGATTACCTATCGTTTTATTACTTTCTGTTTGCATTTTTTATTGAAATTTTATTGAAAAAGTGAAACCTTTCTAATTCTCGTTCAATTATTTCAATATTTGCATTAATAAAATTAACCAATTGAATTAATAAATTCCTTATTGATTAGGTTGGATAATACTTAATTATTACATTGAGTTTTATGATTAGTTAATTTATTTCTAACATACAACAGTAGCATAATCTTATTCATTCAGCATAATTTAAAAGTTAAATTTTCTAGGATACAAGTTAATTTCCATGAAATGATTCATTCGCTATCTTTCAAAAAAGTATAAGAAATATACGTATTATTACAAAAAATTATTAAGTGCAATACCCCAGTAAGGCTTTCAATAAATTTATTAAAAAAACAAAAAAAAAAAAACAAAAAAAAAACAAAAAAAAAAAGAATTGAATTCAGAGAAAGTTATTTCCATTTTAGATCGATAACGACATAACTTTCACGTAGCGGATTAAAAATTTGAGCGACAGAATTGTATTAATGTTCTTTTACATTACCTAATTGAGAAGTAATTGATGGGCGATGAATAGCAGGATCGTTTTAAAGCTAAATATTTTCATGCCGTTGTACATAGATTTTTTATCTTCCGCGAATTTGAAGAGAAATAAAAAGAATCATAATGAACTGAAGCATTAAATTGTAAATACGCATTAATGTAAATGTCGATATAATCGATTTCCAACGGTTTATATAAATTATTGAATAGGATGAGATGATATTTTGCAGAACTCTAGATGAATCTTTACTAAGTGTATGTAATACAATATTATTTATTTTTTTTGTAATTATTATATGATTATATTTCTTAAATTAGTTCGTTTTCGAAAATAATCAAACGATTAATATATTAAGAGAAAATATTTTTACGGATAAATTTATAAGCAATTTACAAACTATAATTTGCCAAAAAGTTGTGGTTTGTTTAATAAATACTTAATATATAATACGAAATAATTAAATTCATATATCTTCACACTGTAAAAATATAATTCAAAAAGAAAAAAAGTATTGTAAGTATCTTAATAAGTGTAAAGCTTACGTTAATATAAATTAAATTGATCTCTTATTTAGAATTTTGTTTATTTTTATTCGTAAATTATAAATTTTTGTAGAATAAATTGAAGCAAAACAACAAATAACATAATTATTAGTATTTAGTTTGCTAAATTCATGGTTGCAAGAAACACCGAGCTATATTATAACGTTTTAAAAAGTTTAAAATTCTTGTAGATAAATATAAAATATGTGTAAAATTAATTTAATCAAAGTTAATTTTTACTAATTTACAAATTAACTGTAATGTTTAAAATTGCTTAATGATATGATATTTGTAGATAAATTTATTTTCCACAATATTGAATACTTTTATTATTCTAGTAATTTTTCTTACACATAAATACCAAGATATAATGTATAAAAAGTAATTAACAAAGGACAACAATTTATTCAAGATATCAATAAGTATATTGTGAAATAAAGTAATACGCAAATTCTTCTAGCAACGGTAATACGTAAATTCATATTATAACAGTAATACGTAATAAAGTAAGGCAAGTTAAAAGCTCGATTTTCAATTAAGTTTTTTTTTTCTTTTTTCTTTTTTAATAATAAGTAATAACTGTGATAATATAGTTGATAAATGCTAGTTTTCTTGCGGGAGTATATAGTAAGGAACAATAATAAAGGGCGCAAACATATATGACTAGCGAAATGGAAAAATGATAATATTAATAAGCAATCTTACAATAATGCACATTTTTCCTTTAGTATGATAGCATATATATTTATAAGTATAATAAATAATATAAGATTGTTATTAGTAAAAATTTTTCTTATTAAGAATGTATTATATAGCCCAGTGTATTAAGCTACTAATGTGTATTCGAATTTTTTACAAGAGCCAGTATTCATATGCATCGAAATAAGAAAAAGTAGCCCAATGAATGCCAAAATAAAATAATAAATATATTAAACAAATTATTAGAATATTTAAGGGGATTGCAGTGGCAAATTTGGTGAGAGTTTTTGCCTAGATTCTAATTTCTACGATTTGTATAATTGTAATCCTAATTGTTAATAATTTTGTGTTCAATAATTGTTTAAAATAAATTAAGATTAATTAATGGCAAATTAGAGACAATGAAAGTTTATTTATTATGCTATTTATGATGAGATTTTGAATATTTAATATAAAGCTGAGATGCTGTAAAAATTTATGAGTGTAAATATGAACAAAAAATTTAATTACGCAGAGGTTTGTTTGGACTATTTATTTGCATAGTATAGTATTTGAGGAAAATATAATATAAATTATACTTATAAAATCCAATAATTTGTCACTAAAAGAAATTAGTATCATTAAATCTTAATTTAAGAAAAAACAAAATTGTTCTTACTCCAATATAATGCAGTGGTGTATTTTTATTTTCGATAAATTTTTTTGTAGACGGTTTTTGAACGTGAAATTTATTGCTAAAATTGGGACTGATTGAAATAAAGGAACGAATATTAATTTTATATAGAAATATTCACAAGAGCATAATACAGTCAGTGCATTCGCGTTACCGGCAATCTTCCACGAAGATCGCCGAGTGTTTTTCATATTTTTTAAGAAAAAAGGTGGGTAATATACGAATAAGGAAATATTATATATATAAGCGAACTCGCTATTTAATTATGTAATTATATTAACGAAACTACGTAAGATTTTGAACAAATACATTTAAGGGGCCGGGGAGGGTGGCACGGAAGATGAAGATGAATTGCAAATGAAAATGACATTTATTCTTTTCATCGATAATAGCGGAATTAAATTTTTATTTTATAGTTTGATTATTATAAATCAAACTGTATACTTCAATGTTTTCACTTTTTATTCATGATCGGCGTGTAGATATCAACTTTAAATCAATATCCTTAAAAACATTCAATTTAATACATTATATGAAAATATTTTTTAGTTTACGAGTAATTTCATTACGTCTTATGTTGTTTTCCATATTTTTACTGATTTTGAAACCACAAATCTCAAAAATTAGATAACGAAAATGATTTTGGAAAAACTATTTTTTCAAATAATCTGCAGGAAATATTAACTTGTTAAAAATAATTTGATTAAAAAAAAAGAGTTTAATAATTTTTATAACAGTTTGATAATTAGTGAGCTATTTTATTAGAATCAAATTTTTTCTACAAACTATTTGAACCAAAATTTCTATCTCATTGAAATAGACCCGAAACAGTTAATTTCTTTTAATAATACATTAATGTAAACAAGGGCTGTAATTATTTTATGGCTTTTTTCAAAGAATATTATATTTAATGTATAAATTTTCGACTAATTCAATGTCTTTGTAAAACGTTTGTATCTACCAACATTTAAGCGATGTATTTTATATGTAAGTTACTAAAGTGACCTTTAACATTGACTATGAATTATAGAAAGTATTTCAATGTAAGTGATTGTGTAATGTACGAGATTGTGGATTTCAAATTAAAATAGAATAATAAAAATCGCACCAAAATACATAGATCATTTAATTTCCCTGCATTTTATCAATAATTCTTAAAAGGTTTTATTAATTTTTTTAATTCATAGATCATAAAGGAATAGTTTTTTTGCATTCTTCCTAGAAAAATATTTATTTATTATTAATAATACAGAGAATTAAGCAATTTATGACATTTATTTCTGACACATTATTTTTATTTAGTTTTTTTTATGTGCCATTTGTTGTATTAAGTTTGTTATTTTACAATTCATTTTATATGAGACAATTTTTATAATCCTCTTTTATGAAACCTTTACGGATTATTATTTTTTTTTATATTTTTGTCATATTTCTTATATCGTGTTCATATAGAAACATGGTTCTTATAATTTACATGATTATTCCTACAAGAATCTGTGATTTCTATGAAAGAAAAAAATAACAATAATTCAACGTAGTTTATAATTATGGCATCAGGTGAAAAAATAAAAGTTAAGCTCTTTTCTTTATTCGTAAATTGCATTACTAAATTTTCATTTAATGATTTAGTGAAATTTTAAGACACTCTAAATACATTACTATCAAGTTTTTAAGAAAATGTAATTTTTATTTTAGTAATTATAAAAACAGAATTTCTGTACTTCATAATTATTTTTTAAATATAATTGATGAATATTAATGGATTTATTGATTATTATATGAAAAATGATATTTTCAATATAATATATTCTTTATTTAATACACTATTTTCTTTAATTATATACATATATATATATTATTTTTGTAATAAATTGCAAGTAATAAAATATGTTAATTATAAATATGTGATGTTAATTAGTAGAATGATCTGGTAATATTTCCTTGACATTTTGGATAAATTCAGTAATTTGAAGGTTGTTTGACGTATGTGTGTGTGTAAATCTGTTAATAAAACCACTGATACTAATAACTCGTGTATCGAATTTCTTCGAGAAAATTCTTTATTTAAACTTTATTAAAATTAATTATTAAAATGTTAACTGCTTTATATTAAAATAATATTTAATGTGGATTTTTCAAAATTAGAAAATAAGTTATGGTCATCGTCATCATTATGAATTAACAATTTTTTCTATTAATTTTAGAACTACAACCACTTTTAGTATATTAATAATTCAATTTTTATCTCAACTTCTATTCTTTGATTAAACTTTGAATAAATTGACGAGTTCACTGTATTTTCATTCGGTGCTTTTCATCTACTATAGGATTTTTTGCATATCTTCTATTTGTAATTAAGTGTCCTTTCAATGATTCGCAAATGTAAACTTATTGAAATTATGAAATTTTAAAGAAATTGGTTTATTTTAATATAGTCAAATAATTTCAACTATATTAATTTAAATTTAAATAAAATTAAAAACTATAGTATTTGATTAATTGTATCTTGTAATGTAAATGTAGAAGTTATTAATTATCCAGTCAGTTTTTAATGTTAAATAATATTTAATACTAAATTAATATTAAATAAATATAAAATAAAATAATATTAAATAGTAAAAATAAAGAGTTGTTATAAAAAAATTATGATTAATAAATCACGAATAGTTTTCGGACTTCAAATATTTGATTGAATTGTTAAATTATTTATAGTTTTTACAAAATTTATAATTATACATGTCTGTGAATAATATGATTAGATTTCTAAGCTTAATTATTAAGGCAATGAAATATTTAACACCTGTAAAATATAATAAATTTAAAAATAATAGATATATTGTACAAAATCATATTTTGATAATATTATATTTCTAACTGCATCGAGGCATTTTGGAAAAAGAATTTTTTCATTTCATTGAAATGTTCAGTAAATTACAAATGAAATTAATAATTAGTATAATGATATATTATAATGTAATAGTCAGAATAATAATTAGTTTTTACAAAATATTTTCTTAATAAAACAAGCAAATGACATTATTTTATGGTATTTCTATCAAATTATAATTAATTACTATCTGACAATATAACGATAGATTATCTATATAATAAAATTATGTCGATGCGTTTTAGTATTAACAAAATTAATATGATTAATTTATTTGTTTATTTCTATTACATACTTTCGGTATAAATACCTAAGGGATTGATTCTGGAATTCTCATAATATAATTCCCCTTTAAATTATTCTTATCAGAGAATGTTACTCAAAATTCCACTATGAAGTTTAATCCATTTAGTATTCATTATTTTAGTAATATTTATATGTTACTAACTAATTTATATGTTCTTTTTCTAATATTTATATTGGTTACTAAGAATTCTAATTTACCTGCGTCATAATTCGTTAATTGGAAATCAATTTCTATCTTTAATATATAAATATAAATTTATATATTTAAGATTCTTTATGTTTATAAACTTTTAAAAAGAATTTTATATTTCTATAATTATAGAATCTTACTGCATTTTATATGTTTAATGGGAATATTATATAAGAAAGTTTCTTCCTATGATGGTTCGTTAACTTAAAATACTAAAATAAGATATACCATTTTATGCTGACTATTACATTGTCTTTATGTTAGTTAAAAGAGTACATCATTCAAATTCGATATAATTAAAGTAGTTCATTAAATGTATTTCTTATTATTTATTAAATATTTGAAGTATATAATTTTTTTTTGTAAATACTTTTAACACATTAAATACAGAAACTGTGGACTTTTAAAGGTAGATATGGATATAAATTAATTATATTAAATAATCATCGACTATTTTATACAGTATTCGCAAAAATATTTTATTTAAAATAGCTTTAATAAATATAATATAAGTTTACAAAAAATTAAATAGATAATTGAAGGAACAATACTTTTACAAATTTATACTATTTTTTTTTGGAAGAATTTAATTACGAATTATATAAGATTTAATTAATATTTATCATTTATATTTGTTCCTGGATAATCCATTATTTTTCATAAAGAGTTATTCATTAAAAATATGTATGATGATAAAATGTCAAAAATTATAGAACATTTAATATATTGTCGAAATATATAAATAATTAAATTTATATTGATACTTCTATAAGATGAGGCTATTAAAGGAAGAGTATACTGATTTTCTTTTCACAGTTCATTTTGTAAAGACGATTCTGACATTTTCGTTTATGATTATTTCATTAATTGTTCAAATGAATAACTACAGAATTAATTGAAAATATGATTTTCAGAATCTTTTTATTGATTTGATCTCTGCATACTTAATAATATATTAATTTTATAAAATTTTCGTGATTGAATGGGGATTCTCTAATTATTCTATTACATTCCAATTATTTAATTTCAAGAGTTTAAAAGTGTAAATTTTTAATACACAATTGTATAGGCATCCATAAATATTCCATATTATTTTTTTTAATATGTATTTAATTTTTCAATTTTATATGATGAAATAAAAATTTTTATTGTTGTTCTGATTTAATTTTAAAGTATTTTTTATAAAGATTTCATCAGTACATATATTTTTATATTTAGTTTTGGAATTCACGTATAAAAATATTTTTTTAATGTAATATATTATTTTATCTGGTATACTCCTCCTTTCATTTGAATAATTAAATTGAAAGCTAAAGTTGAAAAATTATTAACTTTGCACCGATTGTTTTCAAATACTATAATTTTTTAAGCATCTACATTTTTACTTTTGACTTTTAATTCATTGCAGTATAGTGTAAACTGTGCTCTTTTCGATTTTTATTTATACAGCTGTAGTGATTCTCTCTTTTTTTTTGTTTTTGTTTTTCATAATATCGTGTCTCGTGAATTTTCTAAAGATATTAAAGCATTTTATAGATAAATTAAAAACTGAAATTTATATTATACATTAAAAAAATAATTTCTTTAATAATTGCTATATTATATTTAACATATTTAATTATGAAAAAATTTTAAGCGCATTTTAGAAAATTAAACCTACAATAACTTAATGCCTGAGTAAATTTTTAAATAGTTTTTACATTTACTAGAAAACTTGGTTGGTACATAAAAGTGTTATTTTATAATTTTATCAACACTCAAATTCGAAGTGTATTTGCAATAATTCTAAATGACTAAGAATGACATTTTAAATTAAAGTATAAATAATATATTTTCTTTGCATTATGAAATCTTGTGAAATTAAAATATTTTGTATTTATCGAATTATCCTTATAATATAAAATTAACACACATTTATATTAAATAATAGCTAGAAGACACAGTAGTATAAATAGAAAAAATCTTATATTTGGAATTTTTGTATGTTTAATATGATCGATGACAATTTTCATTTAAATCATAACAATAAAGATTATTTTATCACTGCTTTTTTAATTATAATCATTTTCTTTTGAAGCAAGTAACAGCGTTGAAATAACAGCGCCAATAAATGCGACCTTTCGCTTGACCTCGACGTTGAAGATCCATCTATAATAAATAGTTGAAAGAAATTAATTGAAAATTAGTACATAAAATTCCCTATTAAGTTTTTTAATATTTAATGAATATTATTGAATCTTAATGTATATTACGAACTATTACATTTTTATGCTTATTAACTTTTAAAAAATAGATATTTATATCTTAAAACAATGCAGAATATCTTGCTTACTATCTTTTCATCAGAGAGATGCATCCTTGGCGAATCGGGCATTTCCGAGATTTCTGGTAGTGATCTCACGAATGGCTTAGATCCTCCCTTTTCTAATTCATTGTTCTCAACAGCCTTTTGCAAAGCAACCAATAGCCTATCGAGTAGAAGGGCTGCTCGTTTCGATGTAGTCCTCTGCAATAAAATGAATAAATGAATAAAGTGTCTGAATTAAAAGTTTAGAAAACTTCTTTAAATCAATGTTATCAATATTTAATGCTGTAGATTTTTGCATAATATTTTAATGACTATAGAGCTATATCATAAATTATATGCTATAGTAATGTAATAGTTTTAATTTTTTAATTTAATTCATAAAAGAAAAGGTAAGTTATGCATAAATAATGATGGCTAATTATTATTAGCAAATAATGAAATAAAAATAAAAACTTATAATTACTGATGCAATTGATGTTTAATGCATTCTGTTACGTAATAGCATAGAATTTTTATAAAAGAATTTAAAATATTATTTCTTCTCTAATCATAATGAGAACATATTTTATATATGTATATGTATATATATATATATATATATATATATATATATATAATTATTGTAGAATATTAAGAATTTTAAATAACTATATTTTACCATTATTATGTGTATTAATAGTTTGATTTGCAATATAATATTTGAATTGTCTGGAAAATTATATAAAAAATACTTCAACATTTGTGAATTGTAATATTGATTAATAATGTGAAAAAGCAAATACATTCGTTTTTGTAACTTCGGTTTTCAATTATAATTAAAATTATAAAATCGATAATTATACATTTTAAATTATAAATTATTTGCTATTTTATTCAATGAAAATGATAAGTACTTGAACTAGAGTAATTATATTCAATATTTAATAATTTAATTTAATAAATCGAGAAATTAATAAAATAATTTTTATTATAAATAATTTATATATACATTTAAAAATATTTTTCTTTTTAATTTGTTTTAATTATAATATATCAAATATATTTAATTGATTGACAATATATTATGAATATGCTATGAAATAAATAAACGGATAATAATTACAATGTTATAAGGTTGTTTATTGTTATAAATGTTATAAATATTTTTTAACCTATAATTATATACAATATTATATGATTATTGTTGAATAAAAATTTATTAAATTGAAAAGTCAGAAAAATATTTTGTTTTTGAAAATATTAGAATTATAATAATTTCAAGAATTTATTATAATAATTATAAGAATTTATTATTAATATGAAATAAGATTAATAGAAAATATTTGAAATTTGTTCTTTGTATGTTACACTTTCAGCTACTTTAATATTCATTAATAAAAATCTAAAAATGTTTACATTATATTTAATGAATGACTATCTTATAATTCAATTTTTATTACCTTACTCTAATAATATGTCAGAATTAAAAAATACGCAAAATATAATAATTTTTAACAAAATGAAATGAATAGAATAAAAAATTTAATAAGTTCAGGTAAATCATAAATATTGATATAATTTTTTATCTTATAAATTGTATCTAATAATAATTCTTAATTTTATAATATTTTGAATGAATTTAAGTTTACAAATCAGAAGAATTAAATAATTAGATAAATTTCTATATGCAATGATCGATAGTATATTATTATTATTATTATTATTATACGCAATAAAACTACTAAGATAGAATTTATGATTTATGATTATTACTTATTTTACCCAATGTGCACTAATTGTCAATATCTGTAATAAAAATGTCGTTAATATTTGTAAATTGTTAGCTTATTATTCATGATAATATAAAGGTGAGAAAATATTTTAATTTTTATATCCAAACGAATATCTTATAAAATATCTTGGTAATCAATATTTTAATTTAAATATTTTTATAAATCCGTGTATTATGGCGAGAAAATATCGAAAGTAATATTGACGCTTTAAGTAATTTTATTAAAGTACCTACTATACTATTGCAATGACATCATTAATCTCAGATATTTACAGAAATACGGAAAATTTGTTGCGATTGAATTGTTTCTTCGTTATTCAACTAATTTCCCAATGGAAAGCAACCTAGAATTCTATATAATATTTGTACTCTGTTCTGTTTAGTTTCTAGATCGTTGGATGTTAATAAAAATGTAAATTGATGAATTCAGTGAATTGCCATATATTATTTAACTTCATTGATCTCATTTTTAATATTTTAGTTTTCAACAATTGTGACAAATATAATGTAGAGTTATCAAGTATCCATACAAATGTAGTTTATTCATTTTATTGTTCATATTGTAATCATATTGTAATGAATAAATTAATTACCGTGCTAAATTTTTTATATATTTATTTTGAAGTTATTCACTGTTTATATTAATATGAATAAGATTTCAACTTATTAAATTCTTCTTAGTTCATATTAATAATGTGAAAAATTTGTATTAATTGAATATTAACTGTCAAAGTATTTTACATATCTATATAATAAATTAAGTTTTAAAATTACTTTTTTTTCTAATAAAAAGAAGGAAATGAATAAAGCGAATTTAAATACAAAATCAAAATTTATCTAAAATATATAATTTTTAATATAATTTGATAGTCAATAATGTTTCAAACAGGCATTAGTTTTCCATTTTAAGAAAAGATTTTAATTAAATATTAAATTAATACCTATTATTTTATTTATGGCTAAGTAACTACATTTAAAACCTATTTTTAAAAGATATTTCTGTTCTTTTTTTTTTTAATATTTTGAATAAACAAATGCAAAATTTATTTGAATTTCATGTTGATCTATTTTACCATTTTTAATTAAAAAAATAATTATGTTTTTAAATTGAATTTTTACATTGTTATAGTGTCTTTTATCTTAATACATAGTAAACAGTATTTGTTATTACACAGTAACAATATAAATTAATAAATATTATAAATAAATAAATAAAAAATAATTATATTCACCACTTTTGAATAGATTGTTTTTCTATAATTCTATCATGTTTTATTTAATGGTACAATGATATTTACAGGTACAATAAAACATATTACTACAAATTGATATATTAATTTTGCTTATTAATTAATAATATGTATTCGAAAAAGTAAACTATATGGCGTATGTTAAAATTTAATTAAAAAAAAAAAGTTCAAAATTATTGAAAAATAATTCTTTTATCAATAGAAATTTTATACATTTCATATTCTGCAAAAGCTTATATCACAATGCCTTAAAGTAATTTATAAATTGTAAAATTTCTTAATAATAAAAGTTAGTAATTCCAATTTAGAAATTCATATTTACATTGTCGAATATTGTCATTATTTAATAACATTTTCTAAATTAATTATCTTAATGTTTTATTTAGAAGTATAATGTAGCTTATTTACTCTATTTTTCTCTTTCTTCGAAGAAATGTTTATATGAGCAAAAATTGTTTGCTATCATTTTACAATAATATATTAATAATAATTTATACATTCAATGTTTTTATTTATTCGTTATATTAGTGACGCATATTAATAATGTTTGCTTTATGGTTATCTTATCATTTATACCTATAAAATTACATAACTACTATATAAATATTTATAATTTAGAAATAGTTAAATTTTTATTACATATTTGTCTATATAGCTATATTCGTGTAAATTAAATGAACGTTTTGTAATCATGAATTTTTACGAATGACTTATTAGCTGCCTTATTTATTGGAACTTTTAACACTTAGAGAGATTATATTGACATGTATAAATTGTAATAAACAGAGCAAATTCAATATTTAATATTTTTCGTCAATATGCATTTTCTTTTCACTTAAGCAAATTCATTTGTTTGGGGCTTTTCATTTTCTCCCTATGTAATACTAATTTTATTGATTGAATAAGGAAAGAATATACAAAAGTCAAATTGATACGAGCTTATTAAAATCGATCCCCTTGTTCTTTGGAGCCTATCTTATTTGTCGGTCATTCTCCATTAAGAAACAGAAGTTGATCTGCTCTCTTTTACGTCTGATAAATAATGATAAAATATAAATATTTGTCTATGACTGTGGAACTTATTTTCAATGTATTGGCTGTCATGCATATTGTTTACTTATGTCATTTTCTAATAACGGATTTTTATTCATCTTTATTTATATTACTAAACTTATAAATACGTTGAATTTTATCTATATAACTTTTTTACAATTTATTGTAAAGTACTTGAGCTATATTTCACTTCCACTTCCTCATATTTCTTTAGATTTTATTTTGGAATATCAATATAATATCTGTATTTGTCGATACCACTGGCTGTGGGATAGAAAAATGTATAAGTAGATTCAATACGAGGAATTCTATCCGGAAAACTCATTTCAGAAGTATCCGGTCTATTGATTTGTTTGACTCAGTATTAATGTCAGATTGCATAAGCTTACGCACGGAAATCACGTCATCTTATATCGTTTACAAATTATTTTCATCGTTAATTATCATTTAATTGATTACATGTACATCAGCATTGCATTGATATATTCATAAAACCTATCAATCATTCACAGCCATTTCAATCGTAAGAGTAACAATGTTATTTCAATTCTTCCACGTGTTAATTATAAGGTTTATAATTGTCAGAAAATTATTTTAATATTTTAGACTTATTGAAAGAATATTTGAATAAATAACAAGTGTGATAAGAACAAGATATTTTTTCTTCATCAATGTGTTCGATTAAAAAAAAAACAATTTGTATGCATTAGAATGACTAAAAAGAAGATGTAATTACGTTCAGCAATAAGTGAGTTTGTTCCACACTATTATAGAGTGATATTTACGGCTTATTGAAGTCTCAAAATCTTGAAACTTTTAGATAATTATCAATCAGACAATGATGTTTAATAAATAAATTATAGAAATTGATTATAAATTGGGGGGGGGGAGGGAGAGAGAGAGAGAGATATTCGAACGCATTATTTAGCCCTAACGCATGCGTCGAATGATCGAAGAGTATGGTTGCATTAATCGATGTGCATTGGTAACAAGTCATGAGACAAAAACGTAACGAACAGATATATCGATATTATATTGAGTAGACAGTCGCAGGACGCTTAGCTCCTGATGCTTTATATGACCGTGCAATTCTCGCATATGCAAAACTGATATAAAGCAGGTTT